GATGAGCTAAGCGCTACCCCCCCACCCCATCCTTCCCACTCGCTGGTTCCTGTCTCCACTAAACCCCTGAATCTTTAATAAATTGTCAGCATGCTTTCTCGTCCATCTGCTGGCGCCAGACGTCAGCATTGGCCGCCTTCTTCATTTTCCTCATAGCCCCAGAGACCTCAGTGTTTGATTAATCTTGTAGGACCCTCCCACTCACTGTCTGGGCTGAGATTCCTCTAGGTAGGCAGCTTTAAGGACTTTTCTCATCAAGTCAATATTGTGAGTCCCTAGTGCCTGCCACTGAGCAGGCTGTGGACCAGGCCTTGGATAGCAGGTGACTGCTGTGTGGGACTGACGACTGTATGCCTAATGATGCTTGCCCTGTACTAGGAAGCGCATGGCACACTAGGGACCAGTGCCAGCTAAGGAGTCATAGTTCTGGCTTCCTCCATCTCATGCATGAACAAGGTATGTCCTTTGGGGAGGGAGCTCTGAGCCTCGGTTTACCTTTCTGCATTGACTGCTATGACCATCAAGCAGATGAAGGGTGAGTCCAGACCCTTTGGGCTACAGCAAAGGCAGGGAATATGAGCCTGAGAGTGTGAAGCACCATTTCGCTCTCTCCTGTGTGAGCCTGTGCATGACAGCAGAGCTTCTCAGCTGGCCTGCGTCCTATCCTTTGGAGATAGGCGCTTCCAGGCGCAGGAGAATACCACCTAGGTTCCTGCTGCTGCTCTGATGGTTCTGCTTGCCATCTCCAACGCCCCCCTTTCTACTCTGTGAGCTTACATCTCTAGTCAGTACACACTACACTTCCCTCAGAGGCTGGGTCAGCTGCTGTCTGCTCCTGCTTCCTTGGCACTTGCCAAATGCTTTGTGTGCATGAGCAAGCCTGTGAAGGAGGCTTGTCCTCTGACAGGAGCTTTGTCCACACTTTACAGCTTAGAGGTAAATGAAATGCTCTAGGACTCACAACCAGCTTTTAGCAAATCCAGATCTGAAGGTAGGCATTAGGCCCAGGTGCATCTCATCAACATTGATGCCACAGTCCTTGAGCTCTGTCCCTTCTCTTTCCTCTCTCATTGCCCCTCAGCCACTCTCAGTACCGATGGAGATGCCCACCAAAGACACCTTCCCAACACGAGAGAGATCCCGTCAGGCACAGCCATATATTTGGACTGATGTTAGTAATCATGTGACCGCTTGCCTCACACCTTTTGCTGCCTGTCACATCGATCACTGAGGGAGATTTGCAAGTTAGGGAGTCACCATCTCCATCGTGTGGGTGAAGCATCTAAAGCTGAGAAAATCACAGTCACAAGCAAGTAACCCCATGGCATAGCTGGACCTCAGGTACAAAGAGAGCTTACAGGGCTCAGATCAAAAGGCTTGTGCATACTGAAGGCGGCCTACATCCGAAGCTTCTGCCTGGACCTTTGTCAAGAGAGAGTTTGGACTGACCCTGCTCCACAGGGGGAGCAGGCATCAGCCTGCAGAAGTGGGCAATTTTCTCGAGGTCCCATGCTGGCGGGTGGTGTCCAGAGCCCCAGACGATGAGTCTGTGGGCTTCTCTACCCTATTTTCTTTTTTTTTTTTCAGTTTAAATTTAGATTAGAAACAAGTCAGCTCCAGGTCCCTCTCCCTTTCCCTCCCCTCCTCCCGTGCCCTCCCCCAACCCCCCATTATCCTCTACCCTATTTTCTATCCATCCTCACCTTACCATATGGGATCCAATATGTTTTCAATGGCGTCTTTTTCACACTTCAGGCAGTTAGCCTCTGCCTCTGTTCCCAGGCTTCTGGGTCACTGCACATTGATATGCCTCCCTCCCGAGCTGGCATCTCAGAGGCAAAGTAGTACCTGTGTCTGAAAGCTCTCTAATCAAGTGGCAACTCCAAATCCTAACCCAAATAACTCAAATCATGGAAACCGAGCCATGACTGCAGATGACCTCCAAGTACCTCCCCCCACGGCAAAGCCACAACAGCCAGGTGTCCTAGCAGTGGTGGCATCCACGATCTCCTTTGTCTGCCTGTTTCTGGGGGGAGAGCAGGAGGTTGCACTAAGATCTCTGGCCTTACCTCCCTTTCCATAGGCAGCCCACTCCCTGGTCTCAGGCTCATTCTTCCTGGAGTATTTATGGCTGCCCACTGCCTGGGTCTCTCTCCAAGACCATCCATGTCCTCACCAGTCCTGTAATCTATCAAGCCAAGGACCCTAATACCACCAATCCCTAACCCTTCGCCATTGCTCCTAACGAGAGCTGGGGCTCTGCCCAAAGACATACAAGTCCAGATTCTTCTCAGTAGAGGCCGTTTCCAAGCGTTTCCCTTTTTATAATAGTTTCTAATGCCCAACGAATCATCCCTGATTAAGCTGAGTGGCTTAAAATCACAGAAGTCATGGACCATCTTCACTGTGTCTGTGGGTCAGGAATTGGGAGCATCTTGGCTGGGCGGTGTTGGCTTAGTGTCCCTCATTAGGCCTCAGACAGCAGTCTGTTGTAGCTGCTGTCGCGAAAGGCCTGGCTGGAGTGAGTGGACCCACTTACGATGTGGTCCACTCATACGACTGGCTACCTGGTAGCATTGAGGGCAGGGGGCCTCAGCCACTATGAGGATGTGCCTCTACATGGATGTCCGAGTGTCTTCATAGCATGACAGTTGGCTCCTCTCTAATTGACCAAGGAAGAGGCTACAGGGCTTTCATGAAGCCACACAGTGCCACATTCACCATATCCTACTGGTTGCATAAGGATTCAGGGAAGCAGGGGACTCCATAAGGACATAACGACTTGTGGGTGAGACTCCATGAAAGCTATCTGGAAGGCTGCCACATGTCTGAGAACCGTAGACGACTGAGTCTTCTGCTGCCTCGGGCATGCATGTCCTGACTTTCTTCTTTATAACAGGGAACCTAGTATGTATGCCTCTACTCGTGGGGATGCCAACATGGACGGGGCTATGGTTCTTCCCTGGGTGAGCCAGGTAAGGTTGAGGATTCAGTCTCATCATGAGAAGTTCTAGAAGAGACAGCTTCTAAATGCCCAAACTATGAGAGTATAAACCACAGGTCATGTGCGATCGGAAACTACGGGATGCTTTCCCAACAGAAGGGACATTTACACTGAGTCTTGAAGAGTGACTGAGAGCTCCTTGAGTGGTAGCAAAAAGGAAGGACATTGTTCCATGTGGCATGAGCGACCAGAGAGCTGGAGAGCTTTGAGACTATGATTATGCAGCTGGACTTTATACTCCAGGGGCCACCTGAGGGTTTTGAGCCAGAGCAGGGTCTGGCAGAGTCCTGCGGGATGGAAGGAAGACTATGAAGGAGGGAGGTGTGACACAGCTTGCATGGCCTGGGGACACTAGAGGATGAAGAAATGATGGAGTGCATACAGAAAAGCTGGGGTCGGGTGGGCTGTGGCTGTGATGGAGATACACCTGGACACGCCACACATCTGTGTTTGCATCTTAACCCAAGAGGCAAGTTTATTGTGTGTAGCTGAACAAGGAGGCAGGTTTAGCTAAGGGAGGAGCCTCTGCAGGAGAGCAATTTCAGGTTGCTGTCAGCCAGGAAGAGGAAACTGTGGTCGATCATTTCCATATACGCTGGTTTTAGCTAAGGGGTCATTTCTCTATACACCGGATTTAGTTAATTAATATCTGTACTTGGACCAGCGGATGACTTTGCCCTTTCCCTGAGCCTCACCTGAGGAAGGTTTCGCCATTTACCATAGGTCTGAGGCGCTGGGGCCCTTGATGTGTCTGTGTGCCCGTCAGTGATACACATTCACTCAGGACTTCATTTGCATCCCACAGAGTTTCGGTATGAAGAGGAGTGGTATGGAGCAGGAGAGCCTCTGAGGTGGGACTGATTGGTGTCTGTGACGGGACAGGAAGGCCTGCAGGCCATGCCTCACCTTTCCCATCATCTCCCCATCTTACCCTCCTCCCTGACTCTTGGTTCTGGTTCTGGCTTCCCCGTGCCCGTATGTGAGGACACAGTATTGAAGCATTTGATCCCGCAAAACCATCAGGGTGACGACAAGGGACATCAGGTCTTTTAGCCCAGGACTGGAAATCTTGAGTGTTTCAGGCCCGGACTTGTGTGAGAATCTGGTTTGAAATGTGAACCATATTTCCAGGAAAATTGAAAATGCCTGTTTGTACAAATTATTACCAAGAGACTCTAGAGGGCTCAGTCAGTCCCCTCAAAGCTTCTCTGTGGGTCTCTGGGTTTCCAATTAAAGGCTTAGGAAAAAAAAGAAAACAATGAGAACAAATATCTGACCCTGTCCCCCAGTGTATGTTCCTTACTTCTCTTTTTAACGCCCTATAATAACCCCACCCATAATTGGGCCGCCCCTGAAATCAAGAGAAACAAGAGGAAGTGGGCACCCAGATGACAGCCCCCAGTGGCACTGGCCTCACTTGGAGGCTCTATTTCCATTATTATAGCAATTCTCAGGCTGCAGGATACAATTTTCACTTGAGGTGAAGTATTAAATTGAAATTGCCCCAGATGTAATGGCCATACAAAATAATCCCGGACACATGGAAGCCAATGCTTTCTCAGGGTGGACTTCATTTCTTATACTGGGGCTTTAGGGCTCTGTCTCTTTAAGTATTGAGGGAGGGAGGGTCAGGGGGCAAGGGGCCAGCAGTTAGAAGAACTCACCTCTGAAGCCGCTAGTCCCGAAGTCAGTATGATAAGACTTCTGTTGGCTTAATCTGCTTTCTGGCCAGAGGCTTGGGTAGGAAGGCTTCTTAGAAGGGCCCAGATTTTGGGCAGAGCCCAAGACTAGGAGTTTTGTTCCTGCAACTGTTAGGAAACACTGTCCTTGAATTCTGGAATCTGCAAATGACAATAGTCATTTCTGTTTAGGCTCTAAGCCTGGTTTCCCTGCCAGGTGGTAGACATTTAGTTTCAGTCATTCTCGGATGATGCCCGTGATCCCAGGCTCTCCTGTTTTGCTCCCAATGGTCTTATAGTCTGCTTTTACTTGCCAGATGCTCTCTGCTGGTGTACTGCATGGACCTTCCTCCCACCAGCATCATCATCACCTTCCACAACGAGGCTCGCTCCACTCTGCTCAGAACCATCCACAGGTAAGGCATCTTCCTGTGTGGGAGCTATCGCTCAAGCCTTCCCCTTGTCGGCCTGTGTCTGCCCACGTGTCCCTCCGGGATGTACGAGGCACTGGTCTATACCTCATGTGCTTCTGTTCCACACATGCTGATGAGAGAGGCCACCATCCCATTTTTAAAGAGAAAGGCAGATGCCAGTGGTGCCTGGTAACTTGCACACAGAGATAAAGCAGAGGAATGAGTAGCAGACCCTTTGGCCGTGGGTGCTAGGCTGTCTGAAGAGTGTGGTCACAACTGATGAATGATGCTCCTTTCATCCCCAGCCTCTGGCTAGGATCAGGACTTGAGTGTGCCCTGGACTGCTCATCTTGTGCTGCACATCTGCAAGGCTGAGACAATGGTGGGATGTTGGGGAACAGCTGTGGCCAGTCATTAACGTACACTTCCTGGGCGTCTACACTCAGCTCCACTCCTGCCTCCCGTCTGCCTCCCTGACACACTGGCATTCAGTCATGCTCCTGCTAGGAGAGGTCCGTCGTGACAAAGACGACCTGTGGCCTGCCTAGCATTTCCATATGCTCAAGTCTCAGTGCCAGCCACAAGCAAGCTGGCCCTAGAACATGGAGCAGGGACCTGACTGGGAATTGTGCCCCTGGGTTCTTAGGAGACTCTGGCAGGTTTAGGTCACCATTCTCTGGAATGACACCCCTTTCCTCTCCCTAACTCTACCCCGTCCTATCCAGGTCATTGTCCCTTCCTCAGTTTCCCATCAGTAGCCCCACTGTCCTTATAAGTTCAGACAGTAAGGACAGACTTGGGCTCCTGCCCTCAGCTGGGGTGGTAAGTGGGTCAACAGAGAGAATTGAGACTTGAAAGTCCCACATCAAGGTCATGTAGCCCAGTACTAGGATTCTGGCCCATGTCGTCTCACCTGCCTGACCAGGAAGGGAAGTCACAAGGCGGGGAGTCAGCACTGCTAGTGTGGTGTTGGGGTTTTAGGGATACAGCCAGAGCTTCCAGCACAGAGCCCAGCCTCGCCAATGAAGTACCCACAGAAACTTCTTGTTTGTTTTTGTCAACTTAACTCAAGCGAGAGTCATTTGGGAAGAGAAACTTCAAGTCTGTGGGGGGCATTTTTAAAAATTAATAATTGATATGGGAAGGCACAGATCACTGTGGGCAATGCCATCCCTGGGCAGTAAGAAAGCAGGCTGAGCAAGCTATAAGAAGAAAGTAAATAAGTATCACCCTCCATGGCCTCTGCATCAATTCCTGACTCTGGGTGCCTGTGCCGATGTCCTTTCAGTGATGGAATGTGTCCTGAGAGTTATAAGTTATATTAAAGCTCTTCCTCCCCAAGTTGTTTCTGATCGTAGTGTTTTGTCACAGTAATAGAAACCCTAACCATGACACTTCATGTCCCAGAGACACACAGTTTATTAGGCAGCATGTGCGAAGGTCATCTGATGCACACAGGGAAAAATGAGATTAAACATGAACAGGCCATCGAGAGTATGACACACAGCAGACCTCCCTCTCATCATCTCCAAAAGACAAGTCACATTGTCCCCATTCTTTCACACCTGTGTGCTTTGGCAGTGGGGAATTCTGGGTAGAGGGAAGCAAGCTCAGCAGCAGGCTCGCCTCAAGGGGACCTGCCACAGCTTATGTTCCCCTGTCACTAAATGGTGAAAGTCTGCAGTGTGGGGTCAGTGCTTCCCTTACGGGAAAGGACCCACCCATGTGTAAGAAGGAGCAATTTTACCTGCAGCCCGTGTCTTTGGTACCTGATGGCTGACTGTATTCTCTAGCCACCCGCCCTGTCCTGACACCTGTACTCAACCCACAGGCCATTTATCTCACACACAGTGTTGTGTGTCATTTCCCAACAAAACAACCACACACACACACACACACACACACACACACACACACACACACACACACACGCACGCACGCACAGACACACGCACACACGCACGCACGTGCACATGTTGCAGGTCACAACCAGCGTCAGGGTCAATAGTGAAGTAACTCTCTGGTTTGCAAATCAGTGTAGGCATGAGGAGGGGACAAGGGAAAGGATGATTTCTATGAGGACTCCATTGGCATCTCAGGGGTGCTGCTCTTGCTTCTTAGTCCAGAGCTGAGAGCTGGAAAAGCAGACGTGATGGGTTCAAGCCTGATGGGAGCATGATGGGACAGACGGTGAGAGATGAGAGAGTCACAACCTTGATGAATGGGGACTTCCTCAGTTGGGGAGAGAGCAAGCCCTGGAAAGTTCACCACGGCCATTGGTAGAGCAAATCCTTACAGGGTGTGAGACTCACGCTGTCTGCCCTATTCTTCTTGGAGCAACTGTCAACTCTTTACCTCCCATGGGGTCCGGGAGCATGCAGTGGTCCCTGACTTTGTATACCAACTCTTTTGGCCCACTGGTAATTTCCTAGACCAGGGAGGCACTTTCCCGTGGACTCTGAGACCACATTTGCCCAGCTCTGCCTGTAACAGCTCTGTGACCCCGGGCAAAGTGCGGAACCCCTCTCTCTCGGTTTTGGTTTTCTGTTCTTCCAAACAGAAACTGTGATTACTTCTAATGCCTAGCATGAGCTCAGTGGAGAGTAAGCATAGGTAGGTGTAATAGTCAGTGCTCTCTACCACACGGAACCAGTGACATCTATGATTATACAAGGGCCTTTACTAGATTAACTCACAAGATCGGGGCCTGGTGGTCTGACCATAGCAGTCTGCCAGCCGGAGAACCAGAAAAAACAAACAAACAAACAGTCCAAAAAATGGAAGCCTCAGAATGGGGGTGAGGCGGGGCGGGGGGGGGGGGGGTGGCAAGAAAGATGGCTCAGACAGTAAAAGCCTTGCCACTAAGACTGGAAATAGAGTTTAACCCCTGGGCCCCACGTGGTGGAAGGACAGAACCAATGGCTGAAAGTTGTTCCCTGACTTTCACACGAGGGCCTTGGTATGTGCACATGCACGCACATACACACGAATGAATGAATGGATGGATGAATGGATGGATGGATGGATGAATGAATGAAATAGAATTAAGAGGAGTCCAATGGCACAGCCCCAGACTAAGACTGAAGTCCCTCAAGCGCCCTGGAGACAGACACACTGGTATAAGTACAAATTTAAAGACTGAAGATGCTGGCATTTGGTGCTCATGGGTAGTCACAGAATGAGCACCCACTCAAGGCGGATCAAGCTTTGCTCTGGTGGGCTTCTCCCTCCCCGTTTTTTTTGTGTGTGTGTGTTTTTTTTGTTGTTGTTTGTTTGTTTTTGTGCCGTCTGAACTTCAGCCGTATGCATGGTACTGCATACACGTGGTTGGACCTTCCCTCTTCAGCGGGATGATCCCCATGGCAATCTTTCTGGAAACGTCTTCACAGACACATTCAGAATATGCGTTACTAATTCTGGGGGTGTTTCTTAATCCCTCCAAGGTGCCCATCAAGATTAATCACAGTAAGCAAAAGGCTGGGATCAACGGCTGGAACTGGGAAAGCGACGATTTGACTGAGTCTCCAGCCCTGATAGATAACAGCCCTTTGATGTGGTGGCTCTCCAACGTGAGAGGATGCCAGATCCTCTTGGAGGGCTTGCTAGAACATGCCTTCTTGGGCTCCGGCCTCAGTGAGTCTGGAGCGTGGCCTGAAAATTTGCATTTCTGACACGTTCCCCAGGCTGTGACGATGTTGCTGGCTCGGGCCTCAGACTTGGAGAATCAGAGTTGGGCATCGTTTCTGTTGCTGTTAGTAGCTCCAGCAGTCTTATCACCGGTGCCCACATCCCAAGAGCAACTGTCATGTGCCAGGCATGGTGCTAAGTGATGCTCATGAAGCCAGCCCAGGAAGCCACGGCACTGGAGGCTTGGTACCGACTGGAGCCTTCCTGCTGGCAAGTGGAGGCTGCACAGATGTGTGCTTGCATGCAGATCTGTCTCCCTCCAGAACGACTGCGCCCCACGGTCAGCTGGCCCCGGGTCTTCATTCACCTGGTATTTGTGGACCGTTTGATAAGACCTGTCTGTATACCGCACGGTGGAGTTCACGAAGCAATTTCAAATACGTTTCCTCGTTTCATACACACAAAAGCCTGTGAAGTAGGTCAAGTATTAATATCACCTGCTTTTACAAGGGAAAGGTAATTACAGAAGAAACGGCGGAGGCTGGGAGCCGACCCGCTCAGGACTACACAGCAAGCACCGTTGTAGGGCTTACTTGGCCCGTGAGCCTGCTTTCCCCAAACTACCCTGATGTGTCTTGGGGCCCCACTTGGACCCCATTAACTAGACCACAGAAAGCAGGGGAGTTGGAGAAGTCACAGAGTCTACCTGTGCAATTGCACAAAGGAGACAGATCCCAAAGGATTCCGTGGACCGTGTGGCCCATACATGCCAATGAGGTGAACACTTTGACCCATCCTGCGGTCGCATGAAGAAAGACGCGCGCGGCAGTGGGAGTGTGGGCAGCGAGGAGGGAGTGAGGGCAGCCAGGAGGGAGTGAGGGCAGCCAGGAGGGAGTGAAACAAGACAAGCTGAGCCCCGGGGAAACCGGAGAATCTACTCTGCAGAGAGGGAGCTGGTGGGAACCCTGGGGGGTGGACGGAGGGCAGGAGATCACAGCAGCCAAGGCTCAGATGGCAGGAGGTGGGGTGGGGTGTTAAAAGGAGGGTAGCCGAGGATCGCCCAGGCCCCTGGGCTGGACTTCACCTTTCCTTCTCCAGCCGCTTCAGGTGCCCAGAGTGCCTGCCCATCTCAGGTGCTCCCAGCCTAGAGGCACTTTGAAGGGAGCCCCACCCTCGCTGCTCCCATTGCTCTGAGGACAGGCGCACAAGTGAGCCAGGTGTTAGCAGGAAATGGTCTAATTAGCACTTACTGCTGACGATTTCTCCCACTCCCCCATCCCTCTGTTTTAAATCCTGGACATTTTTTATTCGCTAATCATCTCTCAGTTCAACCAGCTCAGAGCTACACGCGATTTACCTTTTGATGTTCACAGAAGAGAACTCTTGAATTTCAAAGAGCCGGCGGGGATTTGGGGGAATCGAATGCAGAAGCTCCAGTGTAATCAAACCTCATTAGAGGTTATTCTTCAAGCAGGGTCCCTCCTCTGTCTGCCTCCTCTCCCCTCCTAGCCTGATTAGACGGCTGGTGGCTGGGTTTGCTGTGTTTTCTTTGCAACAATCACAGGAGCAATCTCTACCTGGCACCCTGTGGCAGAGGCTGCAGCCTCCTTCCTTTCCCTACCCCCCCCACTGCCCCCACAGACGGTGACAACTGTCCTGGCTTTGTGTTGGGGTTCCTCTCTCCACCTCACACTAGTTGCCATGGTGAGAATTAAGGCTTCATAAATAAAGGTAGCTCCGGGCAAAGTTCCTTTCTCATAGAGTCAGCATCCTGCCTAGAAAGGGGGGCTGCCCTGGGTAAAGGGGGCTCAGGCAGACCTGAGAAGACGGATGCTCATAAAACCCCCACCAGCACCCACTCTGCACTCCCTTCCCTGATATACAAGGACTCTGGGTGTGCTGGCACTGCTGTCGTGAAGCAGAAACCCTTTGGAGAAGCCATGACGTCTGTCTGGAGATGCTAGAAGTGTTCTGAGACCCGCAGTTGATACTGAAACCACACCCGTGTCCCTTGAATAAGACCTCTCTAGCACAGAAGGTCAGTTCAATTAACAAATCATGAATGACGCATGGCATAGAAAAAATGGCTGCAATCATCACTTGGTGCTACGTTCCACTAAATGCTGCATACAGGCTTCGTCCTTTTTGAAGAGCCTCCTATACTGTAAAATGGCTCCCACTCTATAGATTAGCTACTATGCTGGTTGGCAGTATAATCGTGTGCCCCAGGTCTTAACAGCTTTGTAGTGAATACAGCCTAGTAACAAGCTTCTGGGGATGGAACTGACTCCCCTTGTGACCCTCGCTCAGTGTCCAGCACACAGAAATTGTGCCCTAAACATCCTTCCAGGATAGGCATGCAAGCAAAGTTCCAGGTCTGGGGTGTTGCCATCTACAGAGATATTACTAGACTCTCGGATCCACAGAATCTCAGTTTCCCTGTATCCCCAAAGAAATTAAGAAACAGAAATTAGTGAAGGGAACTGGATTTTTTTATTTTAACAGTGTAGCCAAACCAAGGTGGAAAGAGAAATATAATTCCCTTTTTACCATGCCTGTGGTCATCTTTTAATTTATAGAAACCCATGAGACAAAGGCTATAATTCATTGTCAGTTTAGCATTGAGATGGCTTGGCCAGTCCTGCTTTGGGGCAAAGGGACTTGGGTCCCACGTTACCTTCACTATCTCAGGTTCTCTATCACAGAGGCAGTTTTCAGGTCAGAATCAAGGAAACGGGGTGGGCATTCTGTCTTAAAGATCCCTTTGTGGGAAGAGTCCCACAATAGTGGGCCCAGAGTGGGGCCTGGAACTGACCCAGGATCTCGGCTATTCTCAACCTTGGTTAATAAAACTTTTTTTTGTCTATGGGAAGTCGTTAATACAGAGACTCACAATGAGTCAAAATGATGAGAGAATGTGGCCAAGAGTGCTTAGCCCTAAGTGTAACATCTACATCAAGTCCTCTCCCAAGGCTGGGGGAGTATCACGTCACAGGAGAAGGGCGCAGGAAGCGTGTAAGACTCACAAGATGGAGAATGCTGTGAAACTCTGGGCAGAGCTGGACACTGTGTTCACGTGACCTCTGGAGGGCTCACAAAGGCCCTAACTGGGGAGCTATAGCCACTGGGGGAGGGAGAGCCACTTTTCTTTGGGGTTGTGGCCACAGGTATGGTGTCCATCTTGGGGGTGGATGGCTTCACGCCTATGTGGCTATGAGCAGCACTAACCGGATGCAGTGGGTGATTAGAAATAAAGAAAATAGGGGAGGACATGAAGTTGGGACATCTGAGGAGTCAGGAAGAGTTGGAAGGAGAGAAGGGAGGTGTGTGCATGTTTTATTTATTCTAGAAGAATAAATAAAAAGTTATTTAAAGAAACAGTGCTAAATGGCTAGCAACTGTTGGAACTTTATTTCTAATGCAAAGACTGGGGAGCTGAAAAGCAATTTCTCTGTGGGAAATCATCTTGCCATTTCTTATAAGAAAATACGGATTTAGAATGAACAAAATATTCTCAACTTGGCAGTGAGGAAACTGAATCTGTTTCAACATTTTGGGGGGAAATATTAAATAATGATATTTCTGTTATTGATGTATATGTGAAATTGCAATGTGGTGTGGTGTAACATATATTATCCCCTGGGGGCTGGGAAAATATCTTAGTTGGGAAAATTCTTGCTACACAAGCATAAGAACCTGAGTTCAGATCCCCAACACACATGAAAAAAGCCAGGTATGACTGCTTGTACTCCTATGATCCCAGTGTTGGGAGAAGGAGATAAGAGGACCCTTGGGGGATTGTGGGCCAGTAGTCTAGGCAAATTGGTGAGCTCTATGTCCAGTGAGAAACCTGGTCTTCAAAACTAAAGTGAGAATAGTTAAAGGCAATACCTTAGTTAGGGTTTCTATTGCTGTGAAGAGAAACGTTGACCCTGGCAATGCTTACAGAAGTAAGCATTTAATTAGGACTGACTTACAGTTAAGACGTTTAGTCCATTACCATCATGGTGGGAAGTCTCATGGCATGCAGGCAGACATGCAGGTACTGGAGAATACATCCAGATCCTCAGGCAGCAGGAAGAGGGTGTGACACTGGGCTTGGCTTGAGCATTTGAAACCTCAAAGCCCACCCCCAGTGACACACTTCCACCAACAAGACCACACCTCCTAATAGTGCCGCTCTATATGAGTCTATGGGGCCTTTTCACTCACACCACCACAATACCCAACACTGAACTCTGTCCTGGACTTTCATATAAATAGAAACACACACACACACACACACACACACATGCGCACACGCACGTACACATGCAAACACATACACGATGATCTCCCACATCTGAAAGAAAAAAAGAATCTCAGGGATTGTATGGATTGGTGCATGTGAGGCTGCAAGCTTACCCTGGCCCGACAGAGTTCTTTGTACCTAGTTCCACTCATTTAATAGGTGCAGGGCAGAAGCCATTTATTCTTAATTTGGAAGTCAGCTGGAGTTCTCCATGTCTGTTAAACATGCTGATTCAGTGATTCTGATAGCTGAAGGGAGAGTCCACAGTCTCTGTTTAGAGTGTCTCCTCTCTCACCAAGACTTCTATGTGGCATCGGGGTTATAGGGGCAAGTGCTTGCCCAGTGAGGTGTAAAACCAGCTGCCAGTGTCAGGAAGTGATAAATGCTCTAAGAAGCTTCAGCTAAAAACTGCTAAAGAATCCCAGGGGAGGAAACGATTAATTCTCCCTAAGTAGATTGGAAAGCTGTTAGAGAGGACGTGACATTTGAACTGGTCCTTGTGGGCAGATTAGGGCCATTTCAAGTCCTAGAAGAGGCCCCCAATGGTGACTAAGCAGAAGAAATTCAGGTGGCAGCGCTGGGCATGAATAGCTGTGGGCAGCATAGACCAACTCCGTGACTGTCCGGGAGAGTGTCTGTCGGTCATGCTGAGGGTTTGGAGTGTGGGCAGTGGGGAGGCACAATCAGATTCTATCACTTTGTCTGTGGCCACATGGAAGTCCACACTATTGGATGTATGAGTCCAAAAGGTCTCGTGAAATCTACAAGTAAAATAGCCCAGGGCTGAGATGAGCTGGGGCAGGTAGAGGCTGCAGTGGTAAAACCAAATAAAAGTCGGCAAAGTGGGGGATATGGGGAATGCCTGTTTATGAGAGGGGAAGGAAGGAAGATCAACTGTTGAAAGCCAGTCTGGAACCTCTTCTCTCTCTACATATATGTATGTATGTATGTATGTATGTATATGGGTGGGGTGAACCAGGATAGAAATAGACAAGGTGAGGGTGGTTTAAGGTTTAAGTGAAGCATCCAGATAGAACTATTAGATTATATGAAGAGGGGGGGCTGTTGTTGGTACCACCTGGGTCTCTATCTGGGCGGGGTCACTGGGCAGTATATCATTTACTGTGATGGAGAAGGTAGAATTATATCCTCAGTGGCCCCTGATGAGTAGGATGATGAGAAAACTCTTTTGGTGTCCCCTGAGTCTTCATTCCTCCTACGTAATCATATTTAAGACTGGAGTTGATACGTGTATTTTGTCCACTAGAAGACACCATAATCTCTCTTTTTGCCACAGTGTGTTAAATCGCACCCCTACGCATCTGATCCAGGAAATCATATTAGTGGATGACTTCAGCAATGACCGTAAGTAACATTGGTTATTGGCAACTGAGGCACAAATGTCTGGCCCCAACCACTGTGTACGAGTGGAGGGGAGCCCACTGATACCCTGGAGGTGAAAGAAAGCCAAGTTGGGTAGCAGGCATGGAAGAGTGAGTGTCTATGCCTGAGCATAAAAAGACGATAAACCTTTTCATTTGAGAAAAAACATTTGAGATGTTGAGGTTCTCTGCTGTTAAGTTTTTGAGAACTGGATTAGCTAAATTTGTTAGATCCCTGTCTGGGACGGTTACTCCATTAAAAAAAAACAAAAACAAAACAGGTGCTGTCCAGATTTACTCCCGTGGTCCACTTTCCCGAGTAAAACATGATGCTGTGTCTAGACATCTATCTAGCCAGATAGAATTCAAGTAGCAGTGCCTACCCCCTCTCCTAACAGCCACTGTCCTGGGTGCAGTCCAGCCAGTCAACCACATTCAGGAGGGCCAGTCTTTTCCTGGTGGTGATCCAAGTGGGTGACACCAGGGGACAGACAACCACAAGTGCCAGGGAATCAACCTCCACCCCATCCAGCATAGGTGTTGGGAACCGGACACAGGGGTTGCTGGCATAGTGACACCTGCTGCGTGAGCACTAGAGACACTCATAAGGACAGAGACGCTTGATTCCTCATGGGAAAGTGAACTGTGGGTGAGGCCTTGGGTACTAAGACCTCTACTAGTCCTGGGACTCAGTGGTCGGCTGTCCTTGCCTAGTGAGGATGGGCTTAGAGTGGGGTTACACTCCTTCTGGGGGGTCACCTGGTTCTCAAGAGCAGAAGGAAGCGTTGTAAGGTCCCCCAGGAACAGGATACCCTAGGGTTTAAAAGGAGCCACAACAGCCTGGATTCAAACCCTGGATCTGAGACTTCTTCACTCCTTTGGCATCTGCCTCAAGCAAGCCATTATCTTCAAATCAGCTCCCTTACCTATATAATAGAGACTACTACAGTCATATGTAAGGTTCATATAGAGGCCAAGTGTATTGACACATTCAGAGCTCTTAGGAAGAAGACCTTGCCAGGGGAAGCCTGTTAAAAGAGTCCAGCGCTAAGCACAAAGGCCAAGGTCTGTAAGCGGAACCAAAGGGTGGGGCTACCAGCCAGGTTAGGGAAGTGGTGGGACAACAGAACAGTCCCAGCATGATTGGGACCCTGTCACATTGTTCATTAGGCTGGAGCATCCTCCCATTATAAGCTCTGTTGTGATGATAAAACTCTGTTGGCTGATGTCTTCTTAAAGATGGCCTCCATGCTCTAAAAGCGACATCCAAAGTTGTTTTCTCCTGTTGGTGGCTTCCCGGCATTTTTAACTAGACTCAGTGCACCGAGAGATTCTGAATTAATCTAACGGAGATAACCCCAGGGTGACCAGACCGAGGTTTCACACTTAGAGCATTTTTCTCGAAATCTTTCGTGTACTGCTGTGTGCTGACCTGTTCCAAACGGGCCCCTTTGTTATCACTTCACTGGGTGGCCCTCAGCCCCTCCCATGACCTAGGAACACCCTGGACTCGGGACCAGGCTCTGCAGTCAGGATGGAGATGGTGGGTAGATCTACCTTCCTGATCCTGCTAATGCGCTTCCACACAGCCACACCCCAGGTGCTCACTGAGCATGATCTTTGTCTTTGCAGCTGAGGACTGCAAGCAGCTCATCAAACTGCCCAAGGTGAAGTGCTTGCGCAACAACGAGCGGCAAGGTAGGCAGTGCCACGGGGCGGGGCTGGTGTGCGTGGAGAGGTGGGTGTGCTGGGTGCGTGTATTTGGGTGTTCGAGGTGGTCTTGCTGGTCACTGGAGCAGCAGTGGTACCCACCTGGCCTCTTATCCCTGATACAGGTCTGGTCCGGTCCCGGATGCGGGGTGCTGACATTGCCCAAGGCACCACTCTGACATTCCTAGACAGCCACTGTGAGGTGAACAGGGATTGGCTGCAGCCCTTGTTACACAGGGTCAAAGAGGTGAGTCAGGCTGAGAAACGGAGCTGCGGTCCCCGCCTCCCTCTTCTTCCAGGGCCTGCAAGCTTGTGACTTCACTTAGGGATCTGGATGGGACAGACCGTTGTCCCCACTTTATAGACGAAGAACTAAAGCATAGAGGCCCACACTGCACACAGTCAAGTGGGGCAGCAAGGTCTGGGCTGTTTGTTTTATCACCCTGCTGCCCACAGCAACAAGCCTGAAACAGAAACTATACACAGGTAGCCTGTAGCATGTGACATTCAGTGTCCTGGGCCAGAGAAAACTACCCAGAACGGTATCTGTCAGGCAGAAAAAAGCTCTGGAGAGAGCATCCTCCTGTAGGAAGGAGGCAGCAGAAATAACCAGTTCCTGGGGCGTCTGTCTTCCACCCATCCATCTGTCGCCCTTACCTGCAATCTCCAGGCCAAGCCAGGAGGCCGGATGCTGAGAGTGGAAACCTCCTCCTTTTACCCTCGAATCACTCTGAGACTCTGTGCGCTGCTCTTCTCTATGCCCCAGTCACCACTTTAGAAAACACGATCATATTCTCCTTGCTGCTTGGTACTCTCGGGGAAGCTCTCCCATTCCTCTGGCTCATCTGCAGAGCACACAGCACAGTGGGGACCCCCCAGACACACTGGTGCTGCCTGGTCTCGTCCTAAACTATTGACTTGTGCAGCTAATGTGGGAAGCAGGAGCCAGGCATTTGTAGCACAATCATTTCATGGGTGAGAGAATAGTGCCCGGACTGTTTTGTGATGTGGTTTGATATTCTTTAGGGATGATAGCCCCAGAATCAGCAGAACAGCCTGTGGCCTGGGCTGGGATGGTTTCCTCCTGCCCTTGCTGGTAGCCACTCAACGCCTGCCTGCATAGTAACAGTGTTGAATGGAGAGAAGAGCCCAACGGGCAAACGGCTCATCAGAGAGCCAAGAAGTCCTTGCCCCTTGTCCATTGCAGGAAGTACCCTAAGCTGGTTGACTGAACTCTCTCACACATGGAGATACTTGCCATCACCTAATTAGGGACTGTTTTCTCTGAGTTTGGGAGAGTTTTCTCTGACTGTGTACCCTTAGCATTGTTCAGAAGGATCTGAAGGGGGAATACTTTTGTGAACTGGCCCTTCAATTAAGGGGTTTCCCTCAGCACTGAAGGCCCTTCCAGAAACCTCCCTCCCCTCTGTATTCTCATACTGAGCATCCCTAGGCTCCCCAGGCTTCCGCGATGACACAGATGGGCTGTTCCTGGTTCTGTCATTGCCATTGTTAGTGTCCTCTCTCTCTCTCTCTCTCTCTCTCTCTCTGTCTCTCTCTCTCTCTCTCTCTCTCGGATATTATATACGTATATGAAGTGTACATGTACAGGGAAAGGCACAAGGAGGCCCACGGTAGAGTCATCTAACCTCTTTCCTCTTGCTTTCTACCTTTATTTTCTGAAACAAGATCTCTTGTACCAGTCCTTTTCTTCCCTCCCCTCTCCACCCCTGCAAACCTTCCCAAGCCCCCATCCAATCCCCACTCGTCTCTCCAGGGAGAGTGAGGCCCTCCATGGGGGATCTCCAAAGTCTGTCTATCATCCAGGGTAGGGCCTAGGCCCTCCCCCGTGTGTCCAGGCTGAGAGAGCATCCCTCCATGTGGAATGGGCTCCCAAAGTCCATTCTTACGCCAGGGATAAATACTGATCTAGGAGGCCCCAAAGATTGCTGAGGCCTCCTCACTGACACCCACATTCAGGGGGTATGGATCAGTCCGATGCTGGCCTCTCAGCCATCGGTTGGGGGGTCCATGAGCTCCCCCTTGTTGAGGTCAGCTGTCTTTGTGGGTTTCACCCGCCTGGTCATAACCCCTTTGCTCATTACTCCTCCCTCTCTGCAACTAGTTTCCAGGAGTTCAGTTCAATGTTTAACTGTGGGTGTCTGCCTCTGCTTCCATCAGCCACTAGATGAAGACTCTAGGATGGCATACAAAGTAGTCATCAATCTCATTATTGGAGAAGGGTATTTAAGGTACCCTCTCCACTTAGATTTGCTTAGACTGCCAGTTGGTGTCATCCTTGTAGATCTCTGGAAATCTCACTAGTGCCAGATCTCTTTTCAAACCTATAATGATTCCCTCTATTATGGTATCTCTTATCCTGCTCTCCTCTATTCTTCCCCCGACTCAACCTTCCTGCTCCCCCATGTTCTCCTCTCACCTTCTCTTCTCCCCCTCACTTTACCCCAACTCCCTGTCCCCTCCTCCCATGTTCCCAGTCCACTCAGGAGATCCTGTCCCATTCTCCTTCTCTGGGGTTCCATTCATATCTCCTAGGATCCGCCCTGCTTCACAGACTCTCTGGAGGTAGGATTGTAGACTGGAACTCCCCTGCTTCATGTCTAAAATCCATATATGAGTGAGTACATACTACGTTTGTCTCTTTGTGACTGGATTAGCTCACTCAGAATGGTTTCTTCTAGTGCCATCCATTTGCCTGCAAATAATTATACAATGGGGAAAAAAAGCATCTTCAACAAATGGTGCTGGCATAACTGGATTCTGGCATGTAGAAGATTGCAGATAGATCTATGTCTATCACTATGCACAAAACCTAAGTCCAAATGGATTAAAGACCTCAACATAAATCCAGCCACACTGAACCTCTTAGAAGAGAAAGTGGGATGTACCCTTGAATAAATTGGTACAGGAGACTGTTTCCTGCACATAACACCAGTAGCACAGACACTAAGATTGACAATTAATAAATAGGACCTCCTGAAACTGAGAAGTTCCTGTAAGTCAAAGGACACAGTCAACAAGACAAAAAGGCAGCCCACAGATTGGGAAAAGATATTCACTAACCCCACATCTGACAGAGGGCTGATCTCCAAAATTTACAGAGAATTCAAGAAGCAAATCTCCAAAACACCAAAGGATCCAATTAAAAGTGGGCTACAGAACTAAATAGAGAATTTTCAATAGAGGAGGCTAAAATGGCCAAGAGACACTTAAGAAAGTGCTCAACATCCTTAGCTATTAGGGAAAGGCAAATCAAAACAACTCTGAGATACCATCTCACTCCTGTCAGAATGGCTAAAATCAAAAACACCAAGGACAATTTATGTTGAAGAGGATGTGGAGAGAGGGGAACACTCCTCCACTGCTGGTGGGAGTGACAACTTGTACAGCCACTTTGGAAATCAGTATGGAGGTTTCTCAGGAAAATGGGAATCTGCCTACTACAAGACCCAGCAACTCCACTCTTAGGCAAATACCCAAAAGATGCCCATTCATACAACAAGGACGTCTATTCCACTATGTTCTTACCAGCCTTATTTGTAATAGCCAGAACCTGGAAGCAACCTAGATGCCCCTCAGCTGAAGAGTGGATAGAGAAAATGTGGTATGTATACACAATGGAGTACTACTACTCAGTGGAAAAAAAATGGAAACTTTCAACCTTTCACCTCGGAACTTTTTACTTTTCTTTCCTTCTGTACATCTTACTTTCACTGCTCCTTGTGTCTAGCTGGCTAGGGGCTGCCTGTCTTCTGGCCCCAAATGTCTCCCCCATTCTCTCCTCCCCTTCTGTCATTTATCTTCATCTTCCCAGCCAAGAGTCCTCATCTTATATATTCTTTCTGCCTGACAGCCCCGCATATGCTTTCTCTGCCCAGCTATTGGCCATTAAGCTCTTTATTAGACCAATCAGACACCTTAGGCAGGCAATGTGAAACAGACACAACACATCTTTACATAATTGGACAAATAAAGCATAAACGAAAGTTACACACCTATACACAGTTAGAGAGATATTCTGCAGCGTAAACAAGTGTAGCACATCTTTATGTAGTTAAAGTGATATTCCACAAGGATCTCTTACGGAGCCTAAAGCTCCATCACATTGTCTAGGCTGACGAGCATTGGGAATCTTTCTGTCTCCATCACTCTCACCCATCACAACCCACTGATGTCAGAGTTACAGGCAAGCCTTGTCTAGCTTTTTACGTGGATTCTGGGGATCCGAACTCAAGTCATCATGTTTGCACAGTGCACAGCGAGGGTACTTTGCTGACTGACCCCTCTCCCCAGGACCAGCCAATGACTCATCCCTGAGCAGGTTCTTCTTGTCCCTGGCCACCTTATTTCCCTTTCCACAAACCTTCCTGTCCCTCAAGACTTGGCCAGCTGCCCCATCTGCATGCTCAGCCAGGGTCTCTCCAGGCCATCACAGCCTACTTTATCCTCCATTTTCCTCTTCTGAGTTCTTAGTCTCCCTTAGGAGATGGCAAATGCAGTTGGGAGCTAGTCCCCTCCCCGTCACCACCTTAACTGCTGTATGGCCCTTAGTGCTTGGAAACTACCCTTAGAAGCCCTAGCATGTTGGGGTGGTGGCATTTTTTAGTAGAAAAGTAGATTCATTCCTACCCCTATGTTAATTAGCTGGTGTCTTTGACACCTATTTGGGGGAAGAGTCTCAAACAGGCTAAGTGAAAGAAATCAGTTGGTACTTAGTAAATCTCACATGGTTCCTATATACAGTCAGCAGTGGTTTGGAGAGAGCCAACACAGAATAGATAACCATGGACAGAAGTGCTATGACAGTTGTTCTCAACCTACGGGTCTCAGCCCCTTTGGGGATCAAACAGTGGGGGCCATCTAAGACCATCAGAAAACACAGGTATGCATTACAATTAATAGCAGTAGCAGTATTACAGTTATGAAGTAGCAATGAAAATAATTCTATGGTTGGAGGTCACCACACTCGAGGAACTGCATTAAAGGGCTGCAGTATTGGAAAGGTTGAGAATCTCTGTGCTGTAAGTTCTTCGTGAGAAAGAAACATAGGAAAGCTTAGTGTACCTCTCAGGTGCCAAGCAGTCCCCTCCAGTGGGGACATTTATATCCTAGAAAGGTCTTTGTGCCTGTGAATTGCTCTGAGGAGCCAAGGGCTAATGAAGTCATCCTCTTGCTAGTCTGAGTCTGAAGCCGAGAAGAAACTAGAGTATGGAAACAGGGTTTGAG